GAACCTGTTGCTGATACGGTGTGTGGGTCTGATTGTGCGGGACGACCTTCTGGAACGGCTCCCGCACCCCGTTGACCGCCTCCACCGCCCTCAGGTACACCACCGTCCCTCCCTCGGTCGGCTGCACGCGATACACCTCGGCCAGCGCCATGCCCCTCTTCGCGACAGTCGACACCATCCACACACGAGTGCCCTTCTCGTAACACTGAGGGCCACGGCGGGACACCACCTGCTGAAACGAACAGGCACAAAGATCAGTCACTCCACACAATGATAGAGTGCGCTGTGCCTTTACTGACCGGCGTCTGCGGCTGAGATCCAGCGGCGGATGACGACGAAGCGAGAGCCGCCATGGCGCCAATCAAGCAGTGGTCGAAGCAAGCAGCAGACGTCAAATGAGCGCCTGCAATGTCAAGCGGGATGGATAAGTTGTGTTGCTTTGGCTGTGTGTTCCTTCACTCACTTACGTGTGTCCCGAACTCGCTTGGCTCGAGACTGATGTCTTGAAGCAAGGCGATTTGACAGTGCGATGGCGTCTTGTGCGCGCGCTTTGCAAAGTTACCCTAACTCGAGGAGAGATCGGTCCCTTCGCATATGTCCTGTCGTTGTTGTCCATCAGACTCAGACCGTTTGTCTGCTTGTCCCAGGTTGATTCGTCAAACCATCTGTCGGCTTCAAGTTTGCAGCGCTACATTCCCCGGCTGCTTAAAGTTGCTTCACTGCGTGACGGAGATATGTCTGCTGCTGCTGCTGCTGCTGCTGCTCCTGCTGCTGCTGACGGTCGGCAGGTGAGGCTGCGTGAATGGGCGGCGTGATTGTTTGTCAGCGCTCATCGTTCACTCGTCTGTGTGTGATGACAGGCCACATCTGCCGCTGCTGCAAGCGATGAGGATCAGAGACGCGCAGAGAGGGAGAGGGAACTCAGGCAGACCATCGCAGACACTGTGAGCCAATGACTCAGACAGTCTGAATGAAGCATCTGACTCGCCGGCTATCTGTGTGTCTTTGCCTTTGTGCAGCCTGGTCTTGTCAACTGCATCACGGCCTTTCTGCCCCTCTATCTGCTCGGCCTGCTGTCCACCACGGCCTGGGACCACGCAGCGCCCACACACACACACCTCACCATCGACAGCACCGACAGCAACGAGCGGTCGGTGTGGCAGCGGGTCCCTCTCGCTCTCGTCACCCAATGGGCCAACAAACTCACTCGGCTGACGGCAATTTCTCTTCGATATCCCATCAGCGCGGCTCTGTGGTGCAGAGACGTCGTCGTCACGGTGATTGAGAACATGCCGGGCGGCACTCTGCGCACAATCGCATTAGTAGAAGGTGTGCGATTGGCTGGGGAGGAGATGATGACCGTCGATTTTCGATTACAGCAGCGCCCTTTAAGACAGATCCCGCCTGTCGTCCCGCCCCCATCACTGGACTCGCTCACGACCATCACCGGGCTTCTCCGCATTCATCGCGACCTGGCGAGCAGAGGCTGGCCGATGCCGTCACTCGAGACAGTGGAGCAGGAGGGGTGGAGGGCGGATGACTTGGGCAGCTTCATCAGCTCGTCACGGTCGCTGCAGCACATTAGTGGGGATCTTCAGCACGTGCGTGGCCATCTGGCGGGTGAGGAGTGGGCCAGTGTGTTTGAGCGCATGCCCGAGGCAGCCGCTGGACAGCCGGGGCCACTTGCAGGTCTGCAAAGTATCGGCACTATCGAGCTTCGGTGGTTTCAGGCGCGTGCAGCGGTCGACAGACTGCAGGTGACTTAGCAGCAGAAGATGCACGTGCAAGACAGGTCTTGACGGTGATCTCACCATATGTGTGTGCTGTTGCTGTGTGTAGGCTGCACTCGCATCGCGTGGCTGCAGCCGGTCGCTCACTGAGCTGGCGGTGGTGGCGACGGACTTGTACGGCTTCGACAGTCGTGTCCTTCCCCTCTTGCAGTCCCTCAACTCGTGCTGCCGACCCGACGCACGAGTCTCCTTCGAGGTCCGCCGTGTGCATACTTTCGACCTGTCGCTCTTCTACAACGACGACTTTCCCCTCAACCTCTCCCCCCTCGTCATGACGGCCGTGCAGGCGGCCGCACTGAAGGCCGAAACGGTGAAGTACGTCATCAGCCAGCATGACTTTACCCACCCCGTCGACAGCCCCAGCCAGGCGGCCATCGACATCGCCAAAACACTCACATTCGACAACGCGGGGTCGGTGTGGGTCGTCCACAACGCCTTGAGCTTCGTCCCCGCTCCCAACACCCCTTCGCCCCTCCCCGCCATCATCGACCACCTGCAGCAGTTCCCATCTGTGAGAGGGCTGGACATCCACAGTGCTCTTGGTGGTGTTGTGGGTCGGCTGTTGGCAGGGAAGATGCTGAACAAGGTGGACATGGTGAGGTTCAGGACAACTGTGAGTGCAGAGGACAGAAGGGGCGTTCTGGAGGAGGTGCGCGCGGGGAGGGAGGTCGACAGTGTCTATGTGGATGCGGTCAGTCTTACTGACGGCGCTTTTGACGGCTGCCTCAACCCCAACATCAACACAGAGGGCTTCCCAGTCGTCTTCCCCTCGGCCGCAGACGGCTTTCAGCTCACTCGCAAGAACGGGGGCGCACTCGTGGCAGGCGTCAGCTCCTTCGGCTTCGGTGGTACCAACGCACACGTCATCCTTTCCTCGCCATTCGACGCCCCCGAAGAGGACACCGCAGCAGCATAAGAAAACAAGAAGCAGACCCGCCCCCGCGTTGCCTTCCTGTTCACGGGCCAGAACTCCCAGTACGTCGAGATGGGCAAGGACCTCTACGAGACGGACGAGGTCTTCCGCGCCAACCTGGATCGGTGTGCGGCGCTGGTCGACCCCCATCTCCCCCGATCGATGCTCGGGCTCATCTACCCCCAGACCCACGACGAGGCGACCAAGGCTGAGCTGCAGGGTCTCTTGAG